TCCTCCTCCTCCTCCTCCTCCTCCTCCTCCTTCTTCTTCTTCTTCTTCTTCCATCTTCTCCTCCTCCTCCTCCTCCTTCTTTTTCTTCTTCTCCTTCTTCTTCCGTCTCCTCCATCTTCTTCTTCTTCTTTCCTGGCATAGTTGTTAAGTGAATCACTATAGATTTTAAGTTACTAGCCCGGTTGTTAAGCGGATCTGGATTTCCCCATTGACTTTGCTTGTCACATAGTCGCGAAAGAGGGGGGGGTCACATGACCACGGGAGGCTGCATCCGTCATAAATATGAGCCAGTTTGCAAGCGCCCAGGATTTAAATCACGGGGATGCTGCAATGGTCATAAGTTTGAAAACTGGACGTAAGTCACTTTTCCCATGCCGTTGTAAGTTTGAATAGTCTCTAAACGAACGGTTGTAAGCCAAGGACTGCCCAAGGCAAAGGTGGGAAAGATGGCGGCATCCCAAGCCCCGCCCCCGGCCGCTCTGACTGGCTGGCTCACCCAGGTGTTTCCGTCCGCAGGTGCAAAGGAACTGTTGCCTCACCTTGTGCAATTTTAGCATCCCCGAAGAGCTGGAGTTCCAGTACCAACGGGTCAACGAGCTTCTGCTCAACATCCTGAACCCCACGCGGCAGGACGAGTCCATCCAGCGCATCGCCGTGCACCTCTGCAACGCCCTGGTCTGCCAGGTGGACAACGACCACAAGGAGGCCGTCGGACGGATGGGGTTCGTCATGGTGGGTTTGGCTGAAGACGGGGCCGTTCGGGGCCCCCTCCTCCTCCTCCTACGTGGTAGGGGTGGCGGCAAGAGCGATGCCGTTGTGTGCCCTTGTTAAGACTTTTTGACAAGTTTGTTCACCGGGGGAGGATTCGCTTAACGCTTTGCATTAAAAAAAATATTGTGTTTTTGCTCTTTAATTCCAGTGTAAAAATAGGACAAGCTGAATATATTAATAGATAGTAGAAATACACCGAAGGGAGGAGTAGAGGGATAGAAGAAAGAGGGGTAGAGAGGATTGGAGGGAGGGTGAGAAGGAAGGGAGGGAGTGTATCGGGAGAGAGGAGTGGGAGAGGGGGAGGGGAAGTAGGGTAGAGGGGAATGATGGAGGGAAGATGGAAAGTTGGAGGGGGGCGAAAGAAAGAGGTGCATGGAGGGTCGAAGAGGTACATTGGGTTTCTATTTTGGGGGGTATTATTGACAAGAGGAATGGCTGTGTTTATTGTCTAATGTTATATGGCCCTGGTTGTGCACAGTATATATGTGACTGTACGAAAATGAAAATGGAAAATAAAAAACACATTTACAAGGGGAAAAAAAATTGTGTTTGCTGCATTGGGCAGTTAAATGCAGGGTGCATGTTGAGAGCCTAAAGCAGTGTTTCTCAACCTTGGCGACTTTAAGTCCCGTGGACTTCAAGTCGCCAAGGGTGAGAAACACTGGCCTAAAGTGTGAATGTGTGACCACTGGGCAGGGGCAGCCATCACAACTCTTTGGAGCGTGCGTCCAGTCTTCTGATGTTGGGTTTCAAGGACATCCGATTTTGGGATTCAGAGGTTTTATGGATGCCTGGCTGGAAAATCAGGAGGGGGGAAAAAGATACTCAGAAAATAAGACACTTTTGCTTTGACGTTGTTAAAGGTGGCACCATCTCTCATCAAACCATCCCAGGGCAAAGTCTAAACCTCCCCATTGGCATCCTCTGCCACCCAGCTATAACTGAGTTCTTCGTTTCTTTTCTTCCGACAGACCATGCTGAGGCTCATTCAGAAGAAATTGGGGGATAAAATAGTAAGTTTCAGATCTCCTTGATTTTACATCCCACCTCACCAACTCCGCCCCGAGCCAAGGGGAGTGCGCTGCCCTCTTGCCCGCCATTTCCCCCTCCTCCCCCCGGGTGTTTGGCCAGACGGAGAGAGAGGGATGGTGTGAAGTTTCATGGACCCTGCCCTTAACCCTTAACCACTGGGCCACGCTGCTTCTGCCAGGTTGCCCTCCCCCCCCCTTCTCGTGTTTTCTTCCTGGCAATGAATGTTTCCCCCCCACCCCTCTTCCTCGGCTCGGGCAGTGTGACCAGGTGATGGAATTCTCCTGGAGCGCTTTGTGGAACATCACCGACGAGACGCCCAGCAACTGTGAGATGTTCCTGAATTACAGCGGCATGAAACTCTTCCTGGAGTGCTTGAAAGTGCGTGTCGAATTTGATTTGATTTCTTGGCTGGGTTTTGGCAAAGGTGGGGCAGCCCCCTTCCTTCTCCATCCGCCCGCTTAAGATTCACTTAACGAATGTCTCGCTCAGCCACCTAAATTCCGGGCTCCGGGGTGGTTGTAAGTCGAGGACTTACCTGCCTAGGGTCCTATCATTCCGTGGCTGTCTGGGCTGCCCAGGTTCCGTGACGATGGGCTGCCGTTTTCCCCCCCCCCCCCTTGCAGGAGTTTCCGAACAAGCAGGAGCTGCACCGCAACATGCTGGGGCTTTTGGGCAACGTAGCCGAAGTCCAAGCTCTCCGTCCTCAACTTATGACCTCCCAGTTTATCAGCGTCTTCAGGTGAATCCCCTCCCTTGCATCGCGGTGGGGCGAAAAGGACAGCGAAAAGGATATTTGCATGCTTTATATTGCAGATACAGATCTGCTTAAGCTCCCATTGGCTGATTTGAGTCGCTATGCCTATTCATTGGCTGGCCTTGTTCCCATGTCTCTCCCAGTCATGGCTATTTTGACATTTTTTCAATCTTTTTCAAACAGTCACAAAGCAAACCCCTTGATTTGCTCTCTGGCAAAACTCCCAAGTGGGGTGCTGTGAGTGCCCAGAACCTGGTCATGTGGACACAGGGAGGGGGCCAAAGTCAGAACTTCGAAACTGGGGCGCAAACAGCTTTAGGGGGGCTCCATCAGGACCTCAGATTCACTTAGGGACCAGTTTCAAGTAGAGGGCCCACCTGTACTTCAGTCCTGGAGTTTCCAAGCCGCCCCGTGTGGCCTTCAAGTGAGCAGAGTTCAAAAGGCTGAACTAGATGACCTCTGTGGTTCCCCCTGTCCAGGTTTGCAATTGTTTTGGGCTGTGGAGATGGCTTGTGCTCTTTTTAAGGGGTCACACTGACCTCACACTGTTTGGGGACCGAAATCCTGACTTCCGGACCCCGTTTTTTTGCGCCAGCAATTTATTAGACAGCGAAGCCGACGGGATCGAAGTGTCATACAACGCCTGCGGGGTCCTTTCCCACATCATGTTCGACGGGCCAGAGGCCTGGCTGATCGCCGAGCCCAGCAGAGACCAGGTGGTGGACCGGATGTGGGCGGCCATTCAACGCTGGGACGTCAATTCCAGGCGGAACATCAACTACAGGTGGGCGGGATTCCCCTGGATCTCTGCTCCGTCCCTGCCTGCCTTGGAAGAGATGCCGCTTGGGCTATTTTTCATGATTCATTTATTTCTATCTCCTCTTCATTGTTTTTATAAACAACTCTATGGGGCCTCTCTCCTTCCTTCCCTCCCTCCTTTCCTCTCTTCCTTCCTTCTCTTCCTCCCTCCCTCCTTCCTTTCCCTTCCTTCCTTTCCACCTGCCCACATGCCTCCCTTCCTTCCTTCCTTCCTT